AAAATTTAGCTTTTCTCCCCCAAAATACTACTTGTCGTTGGGGGTGGGGTGGGGAGTGGCCTACATGGAATTTATAAAGCTAGAGTGCTGGATGGTGGGATTAGATGTATTTAAGTTATTAAGTACACTGAGAATGGATAATGCAGCAAGGTTCCTACATAAAAAAGATTGCAATGCTGGGCAGACTCAAAGCCCCCCAAGATGACAGAACTGAGACAGGTTTTCTGCAGTAATTACATAAGTACAAAGTGTCTAATTTCAGCCATTGTGGAAGATGTTGTAATACTAAGCATTTAAATGTGAAGGAAAAATGAGGTCTTAGTTTTGAAGGAATAGGTGATGTGTTCCTCTATCAAAAGGCTGAATGACTGGCATGTAGAGATGGTAAACCAGGACTTAGAATAGAAAGTTATTAAAGGAGGCTAAGTTGTGTTCAATGTTAAGACGTTTCTAATAGAACTGCTAAAAAATAGACAATGATTTTTTTTTTACCTCTGAAGTAGAAATCAAAAATAAAAATACATTTGACAAATATATGTATTAAAATTTAGAGACTTCCTACAAGAGGCTGGAAGCTGCATTACATTGCAAAAATGTTTTCAAAATTGCCTATGAACATAGGATTTAGAAGAGTTATTTTGGGTAAGTGTATTAAATAGCTTATGATCCAATCATCTTTTGCTATTGAATTTGACCAGGTATCATAGTATTATCTGCTGTGGTTTATGGTTTCATTTGTGGCTCTGACTCCTGACTGTACCTGCTGCTAATGCAGACCCTGGCAGGCAGCGGGAATCACTGAAACATTGGGTTCAATCGCCCACGTGGGAGACCTCCCTGGATTGTGTTCTTGCTTTCCTGGTTTTCAGGTATTTGGGAAATAAATAAGCAAATGGGAGCTCTCTTTAAAAAAAAAAAAACAAAAAACCAAGCAATATCTAGATTTTCAAGATATATATTCTTGCCAATTAAATGGCTAAAATTTCTACATTTGGCTATATAATGACATTTGCCAGGGAATACATATAATAATGCAGGAGGAAAATTTAGCACTTTAGATTTTATTTACTAAAAAATAAACATGTACCCATGGCAGACAGAAGAAAAAAAAGTCCCAGTTAGCAGCTCATTTGAAATGTCAGCACCATTTAAGACTTCCTGAGTGATTTAAAAAATCCCTTTCAATGAAAATGTCCTAAATTGATGCAGTTTCAAAACTCAAGTGCTATTAAAAATGTTTGAGTATGCAGAAATATTAAAGTTAAGTTATGTAGAATGCCTAAAATGTTAAATAACTTGGAAGAGGAAGCAATTAACAATATATCAGAAAATGGTTGAGATAAAAAGTATAAATAGAATGCAAAATTCTTTGGTTGTGCATCCTGTGAGGGAAATTATTAGGATAATAATAATCTGCCACATGCCAGTATTTAATAAGTAGTCTTATTTTAATGCATGACTTTCATAAAGGTTGTAAGGTCATTTCTTACACTGAACAGAAATTTGCTTTCCTGTATATTTCAGCCCTTGTTTCTAGATTTTTTTTTTTTTTTTGCTAGAGCTGTCTGTCCCTTAGAGGGAATTTTTCAAACCTATACTTTAAATCTAAATACATGAGTTTCCAGAGCACTCAATATAATGTTCTTAAAGTAACATATATGTGTGCATAACATATATAGTATGTAGATATATTTATGCATGTATTTGATCATAATAGTATTTATTCCCTCCAAATACCAAAATGTAAACAAATATATCTTTCTGTGCTTGACTGATTTTCAAAGGCATTCCTTTGTGCTATGAATACTGTACATGCAATTCAATTGGTCATCTTTGCATCAGGGAAAGATGGAATCATTACAGTATATGGTTAACTGTCAAGTAATATTCTAGCTCTCAAGGGTAGCATGCAATGAGCATTGCTGTGACACAGCTTACATTCTCTCCCAGTGTAAGAGTACCAGGGTATTATGGGGATAATAATTTTGATTAGACAGATATTCTTCATCCTACTTAGTATCAAAGGCTGTAGATGAAAACAAGGTGCTTCACAATTTAACTCAAGTTTGTGGGCCACTCAAGAAGTGTACATTAACTTTGAATTAACCTTATGATAATCACTTTACATTTAATAATATCATATATTTACTTTGAATTTTAGAATACATTGCAATATTCAAATAATTTGCATACATTAATCCCTATGTAGTAGAGCAAGAAAAATAATGACTCAGAAATATTAAACAGGGGTAACATCAATGTTACACAGTGGTGCATCCAGTGAAGCTGCGACCTGCAGTGCCAGCATCCCATATGAGTCCTACATGGCTCTAGTACCAAACCAGCTTCCTATAATGCATCAGGGAAAGCAGCGAAGTTGGTACAATGCCTTGGCACCCTCCACCTACATGGGAAACCTAGAAGATCATCCTGGCTCCTGGCTTTGGACAGGTCCCACTGCAGTTGCTGTTTCCATGTGGAGAGTGAACCAGCAGATGGAAGATTCTGTCTCTGTTTCCATGTGTTCTGCCTTCAAATAATTAAGTCTTTAAAACAGAAATACTAAAAATTTTTTCCAAATGAATGACAGCAGGAAGAATAATGAACACAATTATCTTGTCTGTTATACTGTAGCATTGGCTAAAGGATTTAATGAAATGAAAACAGACTTTAAAAAAACTAACAGACCTAAAGGGAGCTTGTTTTCTCTTACCTAATCTTTCAGACAGGAAAGCAGCTTCTTCCATAGGCACTGAGTGTGGTGGAGCTCAAGGATCCCTGAGATTTGCAAGTCAGAAATCCAGAATGGAGTGTGAGTCTAGAATGATGTATAGGATTAAATAGCGAAGCCACAGTGATGGGCAAGACCAGAAGATATAACCTCTTTTAGTCTGTTTTGTTGAACTTCTTGAAGACAATACTATTTCTCAATACAACAGACAGATCAAATGAAAACACCACCTTTATAAAGAGATGCAAAATTGGAGAGATTACTTAATGGAATCAAGCCCAGAACAGACAACTACTGAAACAAGGAAATAAGAAAACAATAACAACAGCGAAAAATTCATTTAAAAAGTAAAGAATATGGAGCTGACTCCTACAGAAACTTTTTTTTGAAGTGGTGACAGGTGAAGAACATAAAGGTACAGATGGAAAGGGCAATATGTGAAAGTCATTAAACAACAGGTCACAGGTTGTAGGAACTTAGAAACTCTTGCCTTCTAAGAGATGTTTATTCAAGTGCACCCATCCTTGTTATCATCTCCAAATCTTGCCATAAATCAATGATCAATCAGAATAATACAGGAAATCAGGAGGATGAAACAGGTTTAGGAAGGGATTAGAGTTTTAGTCTCTAGTTTTGGAACATATAAACCATTCCTAGAGCCAATGATTAAAACAAAATTTATTTAAAATAAAGTCTATTTATATCTGCTTAGCAGTTCAGTAAACGCACATGTAAATTACTCCCTGTATTATTCTTACATAATTTTCTTCCAATGTTATATCCACATAAAGGCCTCCACAAATTTTTCTTTCTTTTTAAATACACAACACACAGAGGAGAAATGATGATTCAACTAATTATGTGCTTTATATTAAGGCCACCAATTCTACACAGTAAGCTTTATGCTATTGTCATTTGATTTGGGATGATTCCTGATTTTGGAATGCACGAATATGTACTCTAATATTCTGCTTAATTTTGAAAAATAAGACTTATGATTGCATAATTTATATAGTAAAATAAGAATCTTCATTGAAATGCATGAGGGTGCTCCCAAAAGTTCATGGAAAGTGAAATTAGAAGATAAACTTATTTTGATGCAATAATCTTGAAAACCATGCATAGATATTTAATAATATACATTTTCATGAACTTGGTGAAGACCCTTCAGTTTTTCACTTAGAAACATACTTCTAAAGATTCAATACATTCACATACATTTGCTGTAGATTAACACTTACTAGGGAGTGGAGGAAAGTAGTTTTGGTTCCAGAGAAAACAATTATGCATTACCTGAGATATAAATCAGGAATCTTAAAACACCTACATAGTTCAAATTGTTTAAAAAATCATACCATTTTGCCAGACAGAATCATCTAGCTGAGAACAAGGATAATTTATATTCTTTTATTGTTTGGGTTGAAGGTTAAACATGTAAACAAATGCAAGTTTTGAATACTGTCAATGCTAAAAGCCTAGTCATTTTTTGATTTGGAAAGTAGCTCATGAATAAGTTAACTGTAGTAAATTAAAATGATGCCTTATAATTGGTACATATCATTATTGAACACTGATAATGACAGTAAATATCTTGAAAAATGTTTGCTGTAGCTCAAATTAGGACAAGTTTAAGAAATATACCAATGCTGGCCCACCTGTGCAGAAGTTAATTTTTTCTACAAGCTCTATTTTATTGGAACCTGACAAGGATATGAAAAAAGTATTTGACTACCTTCCCAGAATCCAAAAATGTCACTCCGTGGTTTACTTATGATAGAATTCAAGCCAGACTTAATACAGAACTACTCATTAAATCAGGAATGTTAATTTGCTAAGCTTGAGCCAGAAAATAGATGATTTTGCTAGAAATTTAAACCAATGGATACTAAAAACTAACAGAAACAGCAATTTTATACAAAGCATTTAAGTAAATTCCACTGGCATTATTACATTATGCTCTTAAGAGTGCAATCTTCAAAAAAAAGAAAATTATATTTACTGTGCTGTTTAGAAGACTAAAGTACACACATTGCATTTTAGAAAATTTCTTAACCCCCAAATGGTAAAAATAATCAGAAAGGATATGAATTCAGCAACTCTTCCCATGAAGTAACAAGTTGGAATTCTCACCTATTTTGTAACTGATTTTTCACTTCTTACATTCATTTTTACTCCAAGAGATTTCCCCCATCTAGATAGAATATGTGAAATTTTGATGTTTTTAATATTCTTTCATGGAATGTCAAAAACAGTGTCTAAAGCTAATGACTGACTTTTACTTACACATTAGAACACCAAGTATTCTGGATTTTCCAAGACTACATTATATTCAATATAGTTTTTGGTAAAATGCATTTCCTATTTTAAAGTTTCTGGGAACTGTTTATTCATCTACCGCGTACATACATAGTGATTCTCTAAGAGCAGTAACACTTTATTACTCTGTGAAGAACTTCTAATTCTATGGTAAACAAATTTACTGTAGGTTACTAGAACTGGTATATTATAGAATGTCTAAGCACATTCTGACATGCTAATTTTAGAAATGATTAGAAAACCAAGGATCCCTGTATTTGTTAAACTGAATTACTTGGCAGTAAAATTCAGTTAAGGCTCTTGGCATCGGTGAAACTTCTTCCCACTCAGACCTGCTGCTGTGGTAGACCTGAACTTCATCTGTGATTTCGTCTGGTGCATAATCACCACCTAATATATATATTTTATCTTCAATTCCAATTGCACCCGCATTAAAGCCTGCACATTCAAAAGACCCCTCACCCTTCCAAACACAAGTATCTGGACAAAAACTGTAAACTTTATAGGTCGATAGGTCACATATATATAGTGTGCAGTTTACTGGGACAGCTTTAATTAATGTTGCATGAAAAAACTGCCCAAACTCTGCTACTAGTTCAGACCACTGGTCAGTTACAGCATTATATTTGAAGAAGCAATCGAGTGATGGGTTAAAGGCATCTGTAATCTCTACCTCTGATCCAAGAACATAAATCACATTTTGACATGCACTTGCTTCTGGATAATATATGCCTCTAGGTAATGGGCTAACAGATATCCATTCTTTGGAAAGAGGGTTGTAAGATTCAACATCTAAGAGACTTTTAATGTCCTGAGATCCTCTGGTCTTTCCACCGATGACAAATAATCTATTGAGAGCCATAACTGAGGTGTGCATGGTTCTTGGTGTTTTCATAGTTGATACCAAGAAGAAATCATTTTTGACTGGACAGTAGCACCAGGTCTGATCGGTGGCATCATGATAGGCCTCAGCAATATGAAGTCGAACCTTTCTACAGCACTTGCCTTTGCAACCCCCTGTCAAAAATATTTTCTCTCCATAGCTAGATAGACTAGATCCTGGCAAATCAATTAAGTGTGACTGTGGCAGTATTTTCCACGAATCAGTTTTGATATTATAGCAAAACGTATATTGGTTTTCTCCATTCTCTTCAGTTTTATGTATAAATATGTATTTTTCAGTTGTGGATGGTCGAGCATCAGGAAAAAGTCCACTAGAACCTTGCACACACTTAATTGCATCCATGATTATGTCAAAACAGTTTGTACTTTTGAGTAAACATTCTTCATTGCGAAGATAATCTTGAAGTGTCTCCTCAGATAACTGGTGCAATCTTACTTTTTTAATTAAGTGAGGCAGGTGCTTTTGCCTTGATTCTAAGTTATGTTTAGTCCAATTAAGAACAACCTTCAGTACCGTTTCTTCTTCAGGAACATTTAACTCATCTGATTCCAGACATTTTTGCAGTACTCCAAAATTCATCTCTAGGAAATCACTGGATTTAAATAACAAAGAAAAGTGATGTTGTACAAAGTACAATGCATGATCAAACAGACGGGTAGAGCCATAGCTATCTGATATAGATAATAACTGTAAACAATTGACAAGATTAATATTTTTTATTAAAAAGTCACTGCAAGCTTTGGATAGAAAGGAAACTTGAAGAAATGATGACAGCTGGAAGAACATTTCCACATTATCATCTGTTATTTTTGCTTTTCCAGTATAGGCATAATCAAGAAATGCTTTTACTGCTCTGGAGGATAAATTAGTAATGGTAACACTTCCGTCATCTCTTTCTTTCATGTTTACTTCAAACATAGCCCTGCAAAAATAAAGAACGTGAACAAGTAAACAGGAATACTTTATTCCACACTTATTTTCAATATACCCTAACAGTTTCTGTACCCTTAATTTAATCATAAAATCATATCTAATAGCATTCTAATAAGTTATCCAAATGTGTATTTTATTTATTTGTATTTATTATTTTCTGCCAATAGTAACCTCTATTATAGCTGAGATACAGTGATTAATCTAAAATAGGACAATAAAAGTGTTCAAATTTATATACTGATCTGTTCTTACATATTATTCATAAAATTAGGAAAAGCTTTCACTAGTGGCAGAATTTCTTTATGGGTTGATTAGTATAAATTATGCTGCTAACTAAATCTACATAAAATATGATGGTTTGGGGTTTAGGATTTAGAATGCTTTTCAAATATTCTTAGATTTGACACTAATGTAACATGAAAGGTGGAGCATAGTGAGATGTCAGATCCACCGAGTAAGAAACACATGTAAAAAAGCACATTGATCCAGCATGTTGGGGAAAACAGAATGTAATTTTTTGAAACTAAATAGGTGCAGTGCATCACACCAAGACAAAATGCCAAAAAATGAGTAACAGCTGTTGACAGATAGAGATATAGCCTCAATTTTGAAAAATGAGGCCAGCTTGAAAGTTTGTCAGAGTGAATTCTCTTTTATTCCCACATAGTAAGAATGGAGTCTAAAAAAATTGGGCATTTGTTTGGCTGAGTTTAATGTGGAAATACAGATTATTTGGAAACTGTGTGGGCAGGGATTAAAATGTATTTTGCTGTTGTTTCTGGTTAATAATAGTTTATATTTGTGCCAGTATTGTATAAACCATGTTTGTGAGGTCACCAGGTGCCCAAGTACTTTGGGTGAAAACCAATTTACCTAATAGAGTCTAATCCAGAAGGCAACTAGATGGGTTAAAGCAGCACAGATCAACTGAATAACATGAGGTGCCTGCCAAATAAAGAATACTTTCTCAAGAAAAGAAAGGGCGATAAGGTACCTTCACATAATAATTCAGTTGTGACACATAACCAAACATGCATTGTTATGAAAATTATGACCTGTGATACACAATGCAAGGCTTTTCAGATTTGTGTATCAATTTCTTTGTTAACCTGTGATGGTAGTTCTATTGATTATCAAAACACCTACAATCAGTTTAGTATAATGTTAAGCGTATGGCTGCCAGAACTAGCCACCAGGCTGGGTATCTAGTCTCTGCTACTTATCGTGTGCTACTAGGGAGAGGACTTAATTCTAATGTACTTCAAATTCTTCATTTGAAAATGGGAATACTAGTAATATCTTTCCCAGTAGATTATTGGGAGGAACAAATGAATAAACCAATATAAAGTATTAGCTGTTAGTGTCATCTCAAGAAATCAAATGTTTTCTATCAGATTGTATATGTTTCAATTTATCTTTTGAGAAGGCACAAGTAAAAATAAATTTCTATACTTCATCTTTAAAATATTCAGTCAGAACTCATTTTAAATTTATTTTATCATAAAGCTGTTTCTATAACATATGTTTGATATCTTTTTCATTTTTTATCTCCATTTTTATGATGGACTATACATAGCTATCATAATTTTCGACACCCCAAAAGTGTTTCATATATTGTGCATTTTTGTTAAACATTGTTCTTCTAATTTTTCTAACACAAATATGAATTAGTGGTCTTGAATAAATGAATGCATGTTGTTAAATTTCTATTTTTATACATATTTTTATGTAAACTCTATATTCATTTTCCAAATACCAAATATAACAAAGGACTTAATATTTTTGGTATTTAAAAAGTATATTTTTTGTCAGTTTTAACAGTAATTTTAAAAATTAAAAGCAAACCAATAAAAATGAGAATGCTGAACAAATTGATAGGCAAAAATTAGCTATCGATACAGTCAATAAAAACAACTTCATCAAGAAGGCTACAAGTTCAAATGCTTATATGAAACTCTTATTAGCAGGAAAACATGACAGGAAAATCAAGCTATTTGTTCACATGCGATATTTTCATTTAGCTAGATTTGAAAATGAGAATGAAGCCCAAAATAGATACTAATTAAATATAGTAGGCATTGTGCAATCACTACTTAAAGAAACTGAACCCTGAAGAGGTTAAGCAACTTAACTAAGGTCACATGCCTGTGTTAGGGTTGGAATTTAAATTAGAATATATGAATTAAGAGATTAAGTACTTAACCATTAGAATGTTTTGCTTGCAATGATGAATAGGTAACATGAACGAAAAGCGAATAGAAAACAGTGGAAGAAAAACTGGTTTAGAAGAGAAGAGGAAAGACATAAGTAGAACCTGATAGTGGGTAGGGTATAAAAATACTTGGGAAGGCATGGTGCGGTAGCCTAGCGGCTAAAGTTCTCGCCTTAGAAACACAGGGTTCTCATATGGGTGCCGGTTCTCATCTTAGTGGCTCTGCTTCCCATCCAGCTCCCTGCTTGTGGCCTGGAAAGCAGTGGAGAATGGGCCAAAGCCTTGGAACCCTGCACCCACATGGGAGACCCAGAAGAGGCTCCTGGCTCCTGGCTTTGGATTGGCTCAGCTCCAGGCATTGCAGCCATGTGGGGAATGAATCAGTGGATGGAAGTTCTTCTTTGTCTTTCCTCCTCTCTGTATCTGATTTTCCAATAAAAATGCAAAAATGAATCTAAAAGAATGCATTAAAAAATACTTGGAAATTCAAGGGAGTCCAAAGTGGAGTAACTTCAAACTATCTGACAAGACACATAAAGTCCAATTGCACAAACAACTAGTTCAAGATGCTTGTAGCTGACCTGTCTCCGGTAAAGTATGGTGTGAAAATTGAGCAAATGTTTCCACATTCAATCCAGAATTCCTATAGATTTGGAGTATACAGTAAATATCAATAAACATTAGTTGATTGAAATCCAACTGGTAAGGAAAAAAAAATCCAACTTTGTAGGAAAACAGAGGTTAAATTATAAATTAAAACAGTATAAAAACTGTATTTATATCTGTTTTTTTATCAAGTTTATTACAATATTAAATCTAAACTAAAATATTGAAGGCCTGGGTGATACCAAGACAGGCTTAGTCTGTGGCTTGTCCGTTTATTAAGAGTTCTCACAGGATGGTTCTAGCTTGGCAAAATTATCATAGCACTAGTCTTGTTATCAAACACATAGTATTGTATTTGAGCTTTAAACTGTGGAAGTGGAAACAAGCTTGATTATCGTGCATTCCTGCAGTGTCATGACTAGGAAATTTATTCTAGGGTGATCTATAAGAGAAACTAAATTATATTTAGAAAGTTCCTTAATATCAGAACAAGTTGAAAGCGCTAAAGAAATGCTTTTTAGCTACAAGAATTTTCCCTAACGTAGGAATATATTTGACAAAGAGCAAATTAAAAATTCTACGGGTTAGAGTTCCTCTCCTGGGTATTAGATACAGCACATGATTGATATTTGTCTCCTCTGCGACTCATTTTCTTTTAAACTTATTTGCCCAACTTGTTCTTTTTCTAAAGTGATGCAGCACAGCATCCCTCAAACAAAGGTGATCCGTAGCCTGGCGCAGTAGCCTAGCAGCTAAAGTCCTCGCCTTCTATGCAGTGGGATCCCATATGGTTGCTGGTTCTAATCCCGGCAGCCCCACTTCCCATCCAGCTCCCTGCTTCCCATCCTGGGAAAGCAGTCGAGGATGGCCCAAAGCCTTGGGACCCTGCACCCATTTTCGATTCCTAGAAGAAGTTCCTGGCTCCTGGCTTTGGATTGGCTCAGCTGTGGTAATTGTGGCTACTTGGGGAGTGAATCAAAGGACAGAAGATCTTCCTCTTTGTCTTTCCTCCTCTCTGTATATCTGACTTTCCAATAAAAATAAATAAATCTGAAAAAAAAGGTGATCCAACATCAAAAGTAGTATTTCCCACTGGAATATTTCAACAGACTAATAATCCCAGGACATTGCGAAATGCTGGTTTTGGGAAACTCATGTTTTGTTTTGTTCTGTTTTAGTTTTTTTTTTTTTAAGATTTATTTATTTTTATTGGGAAATGAGATACACAGAGAGGAGGAGAGACAGAGAGGAAGATTATCTATCCACTGATTCACTTTCTATGTGGCTGCAATACCTGGAACTGAGCCAATCCGAAGCCAAGAGTCAGGAGCCAGGAGCCTCTTCCGGGTCTCCCACGCGGGTGCAGGGTCCCAAGGCTTTGGGCCGTCCTTGACTGCTCTCCCAGGCCACAAGCAGGGAGCTGGATGGGAAGTGGGGCCGCCGGGATTAAAACTGGCCCCTACATGGGACGCGCCAAGGCGAGGACTTCATCCACTAGACTACTGTGCTTGTACCGGGAGACTCATGCTTTTAAAAAGGCTGTTTTAAATTATGCGACTCAGAGTTACTACTATTGTTTCTAGTAGATTTTTCTTTAAGAAGTAAAATTATCTTTGAAAACTCCCGTGGGACAAACTGTGTAGTAAAACAATAAGAACATTATAAAATGGTATAGTTTCCTGATAACATATCTTATAATCGGAGGCATACACAAGATAAAGTACCTGAAAAAGTCGCTGCATGCTGCTAACACACAGCGATGACAAGGGATTTCTTCATCCTTCAGGATTATTTTGAAATCATAAAAGATATTTTGCTCCCTAAAATTCTGTAGTACACTTAAGATTTTCTGACTGTGGTCTTCTGATACAAGGAAGTTGTTTTTCTGCTCATTTGGAATTCCATTGCATGAGTTTTGTTGACTGACATCATACGAATTCTCCATAGCCAGTTTCATCTGTTCATAGAACTAGAGCGGGAAAAAAATCACCAATATAGTAGAGTGCTAATGAAAACGTCACACTCCAAAATCTGTCAAGAACACAGAACTAGTAAACACATGCTTGTTTCACTCAATGTGCAATTTTCAATAACACTACATTACTTGACTTTAATATCAAATAAAAGCCCAACAAGTAAACATAATGCGCATGCTATCCAATCGTAAATGCACAGACCAAAAGTTACCATGACAATTTAATATTTTAGAATATATATTACTTATATTTTATTTGAAAGGGAGAGGGATGGAAGGAGAGACAAATGGAGGGAAGTGAGAGAGTGAGAGAGGGAGAGAGGAAAGAGTCAGAGATACAGAGAGCACATCTTCCACCCACTGGTTTACTCGCTCAAGGTCTGTAGTAGTCAGGGCTGGGCCAGGCGGAAGCCAGAAGCTTGGAATTCAACTTGGGACTCTCAGGAGATGGCTGGGACCTAAACACCTGAGCCATTATCAGATACCTTCCAGAGTACAACTTTAGTAGGAAACTGATACCAGTAGTAGAAATGGAACTGAGTCCCAGACATTCTGAAATGGAATGTGGGTACCCCAAATAGCATCTTAACAGATACTTGTCCTTAGAATCATTCTTAACAAGAAACACATACATGACAATTATAGCTAGCATTTGGTGAGGCAGGAGGATGCAGGCACTTGCCCAAGGTCTTCACACAGTTTTTAGTTTTTAGAAACATAACCAGTATAAAGAAACAGAGATTTCTACTTCCAGTCAGGGCAAGTGGATATGCTTTTTATGTTTTTTCCTGCTTAAAAAAATATTTGAAGATTGAGAAGTGGAGAAAGAAATCATACATGCAAATGACACTGGGACATGCAGAACAATATGGTGGTGAGCTCTTAGTTTTCTTATATATAGATATTGAAGAAGCTGGCCATCCAGAAGCATCATTGAAGACATACATAAAGATCCACAAGGAAAGAAACTCTCTCTTTAGCCACAAGACCAGAAAAGGAGCATCCCAGAAAGACAAGTTTTAAATAAAAATCCCAGCTGAACACAACAAAAAAATTAGGGCTTTATGGCCACTCATATCTATAGAAGTACAATACAGGTCTGGAATTCCACCTATGGTAGATTATAATGTGATGTTTCAACACTTGTCCTGTCTCCCCACTGGAGTAGTATGGGAAAAGCTGAACTTATTATCTATCTATCTATCTATCTATCTATCTATCTATCTATCTATCTATCTATCTATCTATGCAGAAAGATAATACTGAGTCACTATAGGAAAATTAAAGTGGAATTTTAAAATAAGTTAAAATATCCCATAAGAAAAGAAGATGGAAAAAATATTAGCACATTTCAGCTGTAGGCAACTAAGCTGCAATGTACCTAGGCAAGTGTTATACCATTGGGAGAAAAAACAGCTAATAGCTGGCAGGCATCTTAGGCCTGGTTAATGCCAAGTATGTGTTAACTACATGAATGTGACAGCATGGTTACCTTTTTTCATTTTCTTAAGATATGTGGGGGCACAGACAATAGCACCCTGGCAGACAGGGTCTGGGGACCCATGCGTGAGTGTGATTGGGCCCCGGGCATCTGGGTTTCAGGATCTGTGCACTCGCAGACATAGGGGGCTGTGGATTACTCAGGGAACGGGGTTTGGGGATGTGTGAGGAGGAGGAATGATGAGGGAGAATGTGACAGGTAAAGAGTGACTTCTGGGGAACTTCTACTAACCAGGCTACTACACTTGCAGGTAAATGAAGGGATTGAGATTGGATGGTTTGGAGGAGGGAAATCAGAGGACGTTTTGGAGCCAAACCAATATACCTACCCACCTACTCACATGGAAGACCTGAGCTGGGCTTGCTGGCATCAACTGCCATCTTCTGGTACACATGAAAGCAGGGCTCGACCACACTACCCACTAGTGAGTGTCAGGGCAGGTTGACTACAACAGGCTTGGCCATGACACTAACCAGCATGTGAGAGAACTGGGTCTGGGAACAGATTCTGTGAGGTAATTGTGGGCTCACCCTTGTGGGACTGCCATACTAACAGGTCTTCCAAATGGGTGGCAGGCACCTAAATGCTTGAGCTATCACAAACTGTCTCCATTGGTGTCATTAGCAGGAAGCTAGATCTTAATTGGAGTTGCTAAGGATTTGAACGAGCCGCTCAGATATGGGTATCAGACAAGCAAAAAGCCTTTCAAATTCTGCCACAAATGATTACCCAGGCAGTTTCTTAAAAATAAATGCACCTTGGGGCCTGGCATAACAGCCTAGTGGCTAAATCCTTACCCTGCCTGGGTGCTAGTTTGTGTCCCTGCTGCTCCACTTCCTGTTGGCTTCCTGCTTGTGGCCTGGGAAAGCTGTCAAGAATGGCCCAAGGCCTCTGACCCTGTGCCTGCATGGGGAGCCAGGAGAAAGCTCTTGGCTCTTGGCTTTGGATTGGCTCAGTTCTGGCCATTGTGGCCACTTGTGGAGTGAAGCGGATGGAGGAACTTTCTGTCTCTCCTTCTCTGTGTAAAATCTGACTTTCCAATAAAAATAAATACATCTTTAATATAAATACATACATACATACACTGGGTGGCACAGCACACTAATCTTCTACAAAGGAAGAGGGTTCTAAATAGTCCATCACTTAGCAGTGACTCATAGGTTACCTTTCAGAGGCTGCTTTGGCTTCCCCATCAGAGTGAACACAACTCACGGGGTTATTATGACATTTGATGATATCATGAATTTTAATATTGTCAAGTGGTATGTAAATAGTAACAGTTAAAATCAGTGTTATGAAATGATTCTTAGTCTTCTTGGCAGAAGATCTGTAATTTTTTTTTTACAAATACTCTCTAAACTCAAATATGATATTTCACACAAGACAAATTTTTGCACACATACCTGAAAATGACAGGTGTCTTATAATTACTTTGGTTGGGTACAAATCATGACAAATCTATCATTATATGATTAGTAAATTTGAAGCCAGGAATATCAGCATCATGGAAGAAAACCCTAGAGGTACTAATGGAAACTTGTTTCAGAAATGTGATGTCATTAATCCTCTAAACAGAGAATGATATTTGATGGATACAAAAAGGACTAGGAATCAGAACTAAGTTACATTTTTCTACCCAGAATGCTGAATTGTCACAACCATTTTTTTTCACTTTTATGTCTCCCCCTAAAAGTTGTTACAAATATTTAAATCAACAAAAGTATAAGAATCAAGCTTGATATAAAACAATATAAAGAAAAGCATATTCCACTTGTCAGAATTAGAATCTTAAAGCTCTGTTGTGACTGACTTGGTTGTTGATTTCACTGGGCCCTGGGAACAGGAGTTTGGTCACTGACATTAGTACCTACCATGACTTGTGATCTATTCTTCATATGTTAGAGTGATATATATGTTACATACTATGAGTGTTAACTATGGTAGGCCCTGATAGTCACTGGAGAAAAGAAGCAGTTATGACCTTTGCTTTTTAGCTCTTTAGCATCTAGTAAGGAAGACAAGAAATTGTACAAGTAATTATAAGCTGCTATAAATACAAGCGGGAAACAAAAATAAAATTGGTAGGCATTCAACTTCAGGTGACAGCAATGGCTAACAGTGAATGCTTACTCGCTGTGTGCTGGGTTTTGTCCCAAATGCTACAGATACTCTTTTCATCTTCAAAGCAATGGAATAAAGCAGAGCCTGTTATTATCCCTAAGTGACAGACAGGGAGACTGAAGTTCTGAGAATCTAATTTGCCTCAGGCCACGCAGCAAGTAAGTGGGGAGCTGGGTTTTAAACTCAGACAGTCTAGCTTAAGAGCCTTTTCTGTCATCTAACACATTTGGGAAAGCTTTTCCCAGGTGACATTTGAGACCTGAATCACAGGGAGTGGTTTTTGGTGGGTGCCATTATGCACAACAAGGCTTCCAAAAGCTCATGGAATCTCAGGATTTCCTCACCCTTGGAGCAGCACTATCAGCAGCATCAAAGAACTGTCGAAAACACGAGAACAGAACACTTAGAAATTGCTCCACAATGTGGCCCCTGGGATGACATCAGGTGGCAGTTCCCTGGCGGTGGGGAGGCTGGGCGTTTCTCCCCTGCATCCCCATTACCCGATATAAAAGAAAAAGAAAACGTGTAAAGCATGCTCTCATCCACTATCCCCTGACCCTCAACCCTTCCCACCCTGACCAACTATGTAAGCATCATCGCTAATAAAAAAAAGTTTTTTTAAAAGTTCATGGAAAAGGTGAAGTTAAAATATTGCAAAAGTTGTCTTGAACTTTTAAAGTCCTGTTGTATAAAGTCCTAAAATGAGAAAGGAGTCCTTCAGTATCAGGAAACTAAAGGCAGCCATTGTGGCTGGAGTGTAATTCATGAGGGTGTTAGGAGCAGGCTGCAACTGTACTACCTTGTGCAGAAACTTTGAGTCCACAGGGCTGGATTTTTTTTCCCTGAGAGTAACAGGAACTACTGATGACGTGAAATTGGATAGTGACATGTTCTGACATTTCGGAAAACTATCAGACATAGGTATAATGCATTAGAAGAGTAAAGTTCAAGCCGTTTTAAAAAAATGATTATTTAGCAGATGTTTAATGAAAAAGAATTATGAACAGGAAGAGATTATTCTAGATACTAGGAAAAGAGCTCAACTTTGCTTTGGCCAATGTGGCTGCTACCGCTCCCTAGTCCTGCTGGGCTGGGCTGGTGGCTGGGAGCCTAAGTTAGTGTGAATAAACTGCCCTTAAGTGTTTGCATCGATTTTAGACTCCTGATGATTTTGGGGGGATCACAAAATCTGGGCACAACAATATCAATATTTTTTCCTACTTTCCTGGGCATTTCACATCACCATACAAATTCTAGCATCTTTTTCAAGTTTAAACAAGCTTTAAACAAAAAATCTTTCCTTTGAGCTATGCTCCTTTTTCTACCAGAAAAAAAAATTTAAAGAACATTTTGGCAGAATTATGTTCTGTCATCATCCTGACCCACTACAATAGAGCTCTTTTATCCTACGTAAAAGGCCCCATCAGTGTCACCACATTACTATCACATGCTCACTTCTCTCATTTTTTTTTAACCCCTGAGGAATATTTAGCTAACTAGCATCCAATTCTCGAAACACTCAGCTCTTAATTTCCGTGTTATATGACTCTTCAGTCCATCTCAACTTCTCAGTCCAACTTGGAAGCAACACAGCAGAGCGCTTATGGGAAGGAATTTACAGACAGCTCAGAAGACAGGTTGCAGCACGGCACTTATGCACGTACGAAAGAAAACACTGCCCTATTTGCCAGGGTTAGGAAACTATTTCAGATGCAGAAAGGTGGTGATTAAATGAGAGTGTCAACAATGGTGGCAAAGAGCAATAGGTAAGTTTATTTGTGTTTTAGAAGCAGAATCAAAAGGACTCGGAGACACATTGGACATAGGGAATAAAGGAGATGAACCCTTAGCGGGTGGGAGAATTATGAAGTTATATAATGAAGTCTTGGGAGGAAACAAAAAGATCTGAGATAGAATAAAATTTGTGACCCAATGGAAAGCTAGTAAACATTATCTAAAAATCACTTAAAGATGACTTCACTGGATGACTTTGTATTGAAATGAATACTTAAGAGAGATTATGTGATTTAGCCAAAGTCACATAAAACTGGAAACAGACATTGCTGAGAACAGGAATCCACAGGTCAGGACCCAGCAGATCATTGCTCACTAGCTGGGTGAGCCTCTGTGTTACGCTTCTGGCCCTGGGTAGAGCAATACAAATATTTCGAGAACTTTTCTGCTTGTTGAATATAGTTAGGGAGTCATTTATAATTAATAGTTACACATTTATAATTTTTTTAAAAGTCAGGACAGAAGCAAAAACAAAATATTTTTTTAAAAATTTGTTAACTGGTGAGAATAAAATCTATCATAGAAGCCATTTTATAGTATTTACTCATATATTCTATTTACATATAAATACACAATTTTATATAAATATATAGTATACATAAATATATGTACTATCTATATAGAAATAAAAAAATAATCATAACGGTTATAGTCTACACGAAACTCCTTCTCAGGCAGTTTACAATCTAACAAGATAACACACACCTGTATAATTCTGTATGATAAGAAAGATGTCATAAAGCAGTACTAGAATTGCCCAGTGAATTGTATAAACAATATTGTTTACAGGGTGCATTATAGTAGGCCCTGAGAGAAGGTAAGCTAGAAGTTGAACCTTGAGGTGAAGGAGGGTGATTACACAAAGCTATTCAGAGTACTGACCAGGGTCCTAGGCTTTGAGTGGAGGGTGTGGGGCAGGGATGTTGAGCTGTTTGGGTAGGCAGGAATGCCATCTGAACCTGACAGATAACCACATCAAAATGATAATGGAGGGAAAGAATATTCCAGCCAGACTGGACAAAGAAATCACGACACTGCCTGAGGAATATTAGCCTCAATAAAGCTAATGCTGAAAGGTTAGTTCAATGGTGAGAGAACAGAACAAAAATCCCTTAGTCTGCATTCAAATAAATGCATAAATGCTTTTCTGATCTCAGATTCTCCATAAATAATAATCACCACACAGAATCCTATTTGAGATACTGTACCCAGATACGTTTTAGAAACAGAAAGTACACAAAATTAAAGACTGGAAAAGTAAAAGTTAGGATACAATGCTTAGACACAAAAAGTTGAAAGTGGAAAACCGAGACACTTATTACTGACACATGTATGTGGCAGAGTGTCTTAATGTCACAAGATCTTTACATTTTGTCTTACTGTAGGTTTATGGTGTATTTCCTTTACCTGCCTTGGGAATGGTCAGCTCCCTGCAGATCCTAAATGCGGTACCTGACACAAACTTATGTAAGTATTAGCTAAACTGATGTATCAAATAATTCTGTGTATCTGGGGGGAAAGAATTAAAAAACCGCATCAACTTGAAAAGATTCCAAGGGATAATGGGGAAACATAATAGGAAAATGTATAGAGAAAAAACTGTAACAGAACCCACTTAAAGGTGGAAATAATAAGTCATTGTGTGGATTACCTCTGCTGACCTTCCTCTGATGCTTCCTGGCAGCCAAAGGAAGCCAGGAGTCGGATGAATCACACCTTAGAGCATCTAATCTACTACCACGTTAGGCATCCGACTCACTGCACATTCACTGCAAAGACCAACTTTTCCATGGACCAAGGCGTTCCCGCGGGCTTTGTGTCATCAGAAGTGTACACAGAACTAGAGGAACACCGACATACGTCGCTACGACCCCTGCATAAACTCTGAGAAAGTGTGCCAAAGCACAGGGTCTGAAGGGCCACCTTCTATGCACTCCGTCCTGTAGCCCTAGACAACAGAATCCTGCTTTCTCAGTGAGGCTCTAAGCCAGGTTTGGACAGCGCAAAGCCTCACCTGGGTCTCTTCAACGCCCCAGTCCAGGGGCAGCCTCGCCTTCGGGGGTGGGTGGGGTCGGAGACCCGCATCGGAGGCGGGTTATATATCAGGGCGGATGGCTGCTAGGGGCAGAGAGCGGCGAGGGTCAGGGGTGGGTCTCGAACCCACAGGAACGGCGGAGAGACGCCAACTCAAGGCCGCAGCACTGCACAACTCCAGGGGACACCGCGGACGCCTCCCCCCGACCCTCCGCTCCGCGCCCAGAAACGAAGACCCCACAGAAGCGGCTGCAGCCAAAGGGAATCCTCTTTTCTACGGGATCCTACAAGCTAACCACAGCATCTAGCAATAAGGCGCCGCCATCCCACTCCTCCCTCAGACCCCGGAGCTCACCCACCTGCAACTGCAGTCTCTCAAGTCTCCACCCCAAGACTCCCTAACTCCAAAAGGCTTCCCTGCGATTGGCTCGCCCCGCTGTCCCGTTAGCGCATCCCCGAGTGTGAGTGGACTAACCGTGAGGCTCGCAGCCTCGGCCCCGCCCCTGGTGCGACCCTCCCCGAGGCCACGCCCACGCGACGTCACGGATGCCGCAGGACGCAGAGGCGGGTCTCCATCCTGGTCCCCGCGGGCCGCTGGCTCTGACTGGCTGGGCGGCGCGCGATGACGTCGGACGGCGCCACGCCCCTTGCGCAGGACGCCGAGAAGAAGGGGGTGGCTCCGCATTAGCGTCCGCGCCATCAGGCAGACCCGAGGTGGCAGCCAGGTCCTTTCTTAACAGTATATGGTTTTCCCCGCCAAGCGGTTGTGTTTGGTGCCATCCATGGAGGGCGTCCGCTGGGCCTTTTCCTGTGGCACCTGGCTGCCCAGTCGAGCCGACTGGCTGCTCGCGGTGCGGTCGATCCAGCCCGAGGAGAAGGAGCGCATCGGCCAGTTCGTCTTTGCCCGGGACGCTAAGGCAGCCATGGTACTCCAGGTTTTGGGGGGCGTTTAGAGCCGAGGAAGCCGACGTCGGGGGAGGTGGGACGGGCTGTGGAGACCTCGGGCTCCCTGGGGTCCGCGAACTCGCGGCCTGTCCGCAGCGGGCTTTGTGGCCGCCTGCGGGGCCTCCTTCGCGCCTGCTCCCGGTAATCCAAAATATGAGACCCAACTGAACCAGAGAGTCAGTGAAGGGAGGCTTACCAAGTCGGTTTTTTCCTCATAATGGCTTATACTTTATTTTTTAAAAGATGTCTGGAATGTTCAAGCCCGCCCCCCACCCCGCCTTTTTTTGTTTGTTTTGTTTTGTTTTTGCATCGCCCTTGCTTTAGGCTGCTTGTTAAATTTTCCATGGCTGTCCGAGGCACCTTGCGCGTGGTAGGCCCCAGGAAGAGTTTATTGGGTTCTGCACCCTTGGAAAACCCAAAGCCAGTTCCCGTGAGGCCGAGGCCCAGGGAGGCTGCGATCCTCGGCTTCACCCTCCTGACAGGAAAGCATGGGAAACAATATTTTAAAGTAGACATTTAGATATTAGTCGCGTGTTTTTTTTTTTTTTTTTTTTGTGCAACAAATGGCAAATTGGATTTGAAAACGAATGCCATAGAATGCAGTTTGAAACGGGTACCCATTGCTATAACTTCAGACACTCCTTCCCATATTGAAACAACTTTCCATTTTAAATATAGGCCCAGTTGGGAATATTTTGAAAGTATTTTATAAGTCAGCATTTGATTTGAAGGAGAAAAAAAAATAATGAAACGTTGTAAGGGTTATTGGCTGTTCAGCCTCTGGAGTTCTGGTGTATTTTTAGTAATTTTGTAATTATGAGGTGAGGGTGGGACAGGGTCATGCATCGTCAGTTGTCAGTGCCGAGGGATCATTGGAATATATAGCATCTGGAAGAATCCCTCGCACGTAGGTACAGATGTGTTCGGTAGGTCTGTAATGTAAGGCAGCCTGACATGTCCAATAGGAGGAGTCGTCGTTACTTTTCTTGTAGTTGTCCCTCAGAGCCCTAACAGGTAGGTCACCCAGAGCCAGGGATGTGAAGTGAGAAATGTGCAAACACTGTAGGGTGTTAGGACATCCAAAGGTGGTAATTGTCTCATTGAAAGTTCTGGGCGTGGGATGTTCTCTATACTGTATAAGTTTAAAGTCTAATACATAATAGGATACTGTATGTGGTATGACCGCCTATCTGCTTCTCTATACGGTTAGTGAATTTAGGCAAATGCACATGGACTCAGAGAAACAATCAGAGGGATGCCTGCTGGGAGGATTGTTAAGTAAATCTTTAATGTTGTGTCTACTCAAACATTACTTAATTCCTAATGCGCTAGTTATGATTTGTACTTTCAGAACTTGGAAGTAGCAAAAATGATTGTCTATTAGAAGCAGTGCATCTCTATCTTATATAGACATCGGTACATACTGAATGTTTTATGTATTTGACAGGCTGGTCGTCTGATGATAAGAAAATTAGTTGCCGAGAAATTGAATATCCCTTGGAATCACATTCGTTTACAAAGAACTGCAAAAGGAAAGCCCGTTCTGGCCAAGGACTCATCGAATCCTTATCCCAATTTCAACTTTAATGTCTCTCATCAAGGAGACTTTGCGGTGCTGGCTGCGGAGCCTGAGCTGCAAGTGGGAGTTGATGTCATGAAAACAAGTTTTCCCGGTAATACTGCTTTTTGCAGTACAGAAGTTTTGTGTCTTGATTTCTCAATCCTTACCTGTTCAGTACTGTGAGTTAGGTAATGTGTTACAGCTCCTCAAGTTTAGGTAGTCTTGCTTAAAACCCAAAGCATTGCATCTAAGAGCTTGTGTTTGTAAAAGAGGTGCATTTCCTTAACTGTGTAGGAGACATCTACGTAAATGGTGGTTTATTACTGGAGATATATACAGTGCTATAGGAAGTAAAGGGAAATGTGAAGATTTCCTTTTTGAACGGTATCCTGACATGTACATTCACTTAATTGTTTACCACAGTTTATGCGTGAATTGTTGGATTCTTTTTTTAAAATGTCAGTGGTATGGTATCACAGTTCTTAGAGATACATGGGTTTGTGCTATTTTAAAATATAGCTTATTTAGCGCATTTATGTAGGATGAAAAGCAAACCTTCCTAAAATATTTTAACTGTACATATATTAGCTTAGAAATTTAATACTTGTGGCTTTGGAATTTCGAACATTTAGTGTGGAATTGAATCCCTTTGGTAAATTTTAGTATTATTTGCTAAACACAGTTCTCTTGATTATTCTAGAATTGTCATAGTCACCAACTTCTGGTGAACGTGTGCTAGGTATATTAAGTGCTTTACTGTTTTCTGATTTAGTTTTCTCAAACTCCCCTATAGTGATTGTGGTGTTATTTTTACCAAAAGTAATTCATAGGAGAAACCATGTTCTCTTGATCTCACAGTACAGTTTGTTGTTGCCCAGCCTCTCCCACAGGTGCTTTGGTTTATGTGATTCTATCTGGAAGACTGGTATTAGCTTTGTCTCCAGCCCCATTGCTGTAGAGACAATTCTGCATTTACTGGTTGGATTTCACCTCAGTCTTACTTTATGAAATACTGTTGTGAAACTTCACTCAAGGTTCATGGCACTTGTACTTCCTTTATCCTAATTAAATTATTTCAGTTTATAATTATTCCTAATGATGAGGATGGATTGTCTTTTTCTTGGTTCTTGTAAGCTACTTGAGAGCAGGATCTGTGTTGGCCTTGTCAGAGTTTGAGTACTGTCATGTCTTAGTACCTTGTCTAATGCGTTATGGTGCTTAGTGTTTGTTGAGCGAGTGTGTGCTGCGCAGCTATAGTGTAGGCTTCTACATATTCATAAACCTTTCCTGATAACTCCCTACCAAATTTGCTCTGTAGGAGATTTCAGTAATTTCAGAAACATTAAAGGTACTTGACCTTGACTGCATTGAAACTTTTATATATTTTTATATGCATGTACTTTTTAAGGAAAGATTCTGCTCAGCAGGTTCTATATGTTTAATATAGCTTTGCTGTTCTACAAGAACTTTTCCTAAAATCAGAAAAGAGTGGCAGGCCACTACTGTCTAGAGTGTGGTGTTGTGTAGTAAGGTTGACCCAGTTGGTTGCTCTCTATCTGAAAATGATGCCTCGTGAAGCGGGTTTAGTTACTATTTGAATTCATGAGCATTGTTGGTTTATAGAAAGCAGTAAACAAGTAATTAGAGTTCATTTCCTATTTTATGTCTTATTAGACCTTTCACCCCTTCCTGTTGTCTTTTTCATCTATCTTACTTAGCCAGTGGCACTATCCAGGCCTTCTCTTTGTCTTTATTTGAAGATCAGACTTACAGAGAAAGGGAGAGGCAGAAAGCATATCTTCTGTCTGCTGGGTTTATTACCCAGATGGTTGCACTTACTCAAGCTGTGACAGACCAAAGCTAGTTTTTTCCCACACGCATGGCGGGGACCCAAACACTTGGGCCATCCTCCACTGCTCTTTCTAAGGCCATTAGCAGAGCTGGAAATGAAGTGGAGACCAGACATGAATTGACACCCATATGGGATGCCAGTGTCATGTGTAGCCTTAACCAGTATGCCACAATGCTGGCTGCCATTTCTTTTCCTTGATTGCTTTATTGCCAAGAAACTTGATTTGCCCACAACCTGAAGGTGAAGACATATTTTCCAGTCAGCACTGAAGTTGTTACCATGCCCCTGATTTCTGAAGTACTTCTTGATGAGAATGCATTTGAATTATTTTTTTAACCCAAATAAATGAGGAAATTGTGCTAGGAATATTTTTAAGTGTCTTGCTAAGTGGTGGAAAGTAAAACCTAGAATTACAGTAAGGAACTACACTTGCCATGGTGTTGTTAATTTCGGTTGTTCAGACGGCTGATTCGGGCTGCTGGGGGAGATGTTTGCATCCGTAGTGTTTTGACAGACTGTTGCCATTATTGCCAGCATTTGGGTGCAGTTTGTTTTCTGTTTCTGTGACCAGCTACCCAAGGCTAAATAACTTAGGAAGAGTTTCATTTAGCTTACAGAAGCACGGCTCCAGCATCTGCTCAGCTTCTTGGGAGGGCCGCACCTGCCTGAAGCATGGTGGAGCAGTGGGTATGTGAAGAGAGGCACCTGCGCAAGGGAAAGACAGAGGGGGAGGTTGATGGCGCTTCTTATACAGCAAGCCACTTGTCTTGTGACTGACCCAGTCCTTGAGACCCCTCACTCCCATGAGCTCTAACATTCCTGCAGTAGAATTAACTCAGACTCAAGAGTGAGGTGTTGCTTTGCTACCCGTGAGTACAGTTCTCACTGTGGGAAGAAGGCTCTGCCCTCGTCATCATCCTAACTTGTCAACCTCAGTTGGGAACTTCTGGTTAATTTTTCCTCATTTTCTGATTTGCATCTACCGTTAAAGGTACAAATATAAAGAAAGCATAGTTTAATGAACTGTTAAGTCATTTCGCGAAATGTACAAAATAAAGCAAAGTTAGTTAGCTAACATAGAGTGTGTGAATATAGCCTAAAATTTTGAAAATACTTAAGTTCCTTATGGCTTTGATTCACCTTTTTTTAAAACTTATTTGAAACACCGACGGCCACATGCACATACATCTGTTCACTGGTCCGCTGCCCAAAGGCCTGCATCCGCCGGTGTGGCCAGGCTGAAGCCCGCAGCCCAGAGCTCAGCCAGCTGTCCCTCTTAGCAGAGACCGAGGTATGTAAGCTGCGACCGGCTGCCCCTCAGGGTGCACATGATTAGCAGGTACTTGGGTTTGGTGCAGAGAAAGTGGAAGAGCCAGGTGCCCCAATGTGGGATGACTCAGTGTCGAGATTTATTCTCTGGTGTTTCTTGAGAGAAGTCATTCAGAGTTTCTGCCAGGTTTTGCTTTTTCTGAAGATTTCTGGAAAGAATTCTTGCCTCTTGATTTTTGCTGGCTACTAGCAGTCTCGTCAGTCCAGCTTCTACCTCTCCCTTCACGTGGCTTTCCCTGCTTCAACTCTGTGTTTGTATGTGTGTTTCTCATGACTACACTAGTCCTCTAATCTTACCTTGATTACGTCTGTGGACACCCAAAAGTGTTAGGAGGTTCCAGATGGTCATGAATTTTGGGTGACACTCCGCAGCCTAGTATCAGTCTTCTGTCAGTCACCCATAGTCAATATCCCCAAGTCTACTCATCCCACAGTTATCTTCTTGTTAAATTCTCATCGAATGCTGACTTTAAAAGTAGCAGATCTCATCTGAATTGTTGTAAATAAGCTATGGTCTGTCTGGGGGCAAAATTTCTCTTCTGAGGTGAGACTAGAAAACAAAGCATTATAGGAACTGTAAGGGTACTTGAAAGAGTTGGTGGAACAATGTGGTCAAATGTTCGATGCCAAGAAATTTTGAAATACATAGTCTCTTAATTATATTTTCTCTGTTTTGTAGTTACCGTATGCAGTGGTGAGAAAAGCAGATAGACATTCTTATTCTAAAAAGAAGTTGGAAAGGAATAGGAAATCATGGTTCACAAACCCGGGGGGGGGGGAGCCGATGTTGTGTCCAGGCACTTCAAGAGTAGCATCTCTGCATCTCTGTCTTTGCTCCGTCAGTCCTTGTTTGTTGGATGGTATTTTCAACCAGGTAGCTGTAGCTTCATGGGCCTGATCATTACCTGTTTATTAATGCCTCTATATGTTGATGTACATCCATTTTAACAACAGATATACAGTAAGGGACTGGTTTTGCGGAGTGGTGGGTTATGTGCCCAGCCTCAGACACTGGCATTCCATATAGTTCTGATTGCTCCACCTCCTATTCAGCTTCCTGCTGATGTGCCTGGCAAAGCGTGGAGGGCTGCCCAAGTTCTTGAGTCCTTACATCCAAGAGGGAAATGGGAAGAAGCTCCAACTCCTTTCTTTAGCCAGGCACAACCTTCGGGCAAAATTGGCCATTTGGGAAGTGAACCAGAGGATGGAAGATCTCTCCCTTTTCTTCTGTTAACTCTGCCTTTCAAGTAAATAAAAATTATGATTCTTTTCAGAAAAAGCCCACCAAGAGCAGTTGATATTTAAGACAGTGCAGTCTCAAGCTTAGATTGTCATAACTCAATCTAGTGGTTTTTTTTTTTTTCTGTTATGCTGATTAAAAACTTCTAGATAACCTTTGTCAGTCACTTACAAGAGGCTTTGTGTATGTGGTTTATGAATATTCTGGCAGCTCAGACTGCCATACTGGTTTTATATTTTGGTACGGTGAAGGATGAATGGGCTGATAAGTCAGACTTACTAGATAGATATTAACTCAGTTCCCTTATAGGCAGGCCTACATACAATCTGGCTGTATGAAATCAAATACTTAGGAGGAAATTAAATTTTGGACTTCTAAAGTAATGTTTTATTATGTACTAGCTAAAGCCAACTTTTGATACTTTCACAATGAGCACACAGACATTGCTTACCTACACATACAAATAAACAAACAACACTTTTCTTTAGGAAAAGTACTAAGCTAGCTGAGGTGCTACTCTGCACGCACACGTTGGTGACCTAGGGACATAGAGATTCAGATGAACTGTGAGGGTCTGACACTAGTAGGATATTTTCATAGGCCTGCTTAGTATTGGCTCTAAAAAATTTTGTTGTAGATAACTGTTACATTGAACATGAGCTTTTTTAGTTTCTGCATGGGCTTGATTAATTGGTGTTGTAGAATACTTTGTTAATGTCTAATGCTACTTTACTTAAAAATTAAGCTATGAGATGGAGAGTCAAGTTTTTCTAAACTTGGCTAGCCATTCTGTGTTTTTCAGTAATGTTTGTATTATTTATGTGTAAATGTAGTTGTTTAAGTTTTGCAGTATTAAATGGGATGCTTAAATAGGAGATAATAATAAATGTGATCGATAACATTATTAGGAGAATTTGCCATATTATGTGTCCAGTAGTTGTACAGTCTTCAAATAATTTAAGGAACAATTTTCTATTCTGATTTTTAGTGTAATTTCCTGCCTAGTAAAGTATGCACTAAACATAATATACAGTCACTGTATTTTCACCATTCGGCCACAGTGTGGCAGTGTTGTGCTTTTAGTTGAGTATTCACAAAATAACCTGCTCTATCTTGTGGATGACAAAAAAAAAAAAAAAAAGAAATTGTAGTCTGCTCTTACTCAAAAACATAATATTACAAAATATGCAGAAAATACTTATTTTGGGGTGGGCATTTGGTAGTGTAAGACCCCGTGGGGGATGTCCACATCTCTTAGGAATCTAATTCAGGTCTCACCTTTAATGCTAATCATAGCTTCGTGCTAATGTGTACCCTCCGACACCACAGGAGATGGCAGCAGTAGTTGAGTCCCTGCTCCCCACATGAGCTCATTTCCATTTGTAAGCATCTGGGGAGTGAAGCAGGGGATCAGGGTCTCTCTCAAATTATATCAAATATAATGTACTTTCAAAAAAAAAAAAAACCATTGAAAGAAATATATGTAAACTTTCTAATCACAACAGCCTCTTAAAAAGAAATTTTTTTTTTTTTTACTTTCTACCAGTTTTTACAAAACTATAACAAATTGCTCCATTTTCTCTTTGGTACACATATAGCACAGTAAGAAATTTAAACCTGAAAGAGTATAGTTGTGTTTAGGAATGATTGTTATAGATTCCTGATAAGTATTATATCATGTATAAAAAGCTTCCTTTTAATTATTAAAAATTCATGAATAGATGTGGGTGCAAAATTTCATGAGGATTTTTTGGAGAATATCTTGGTAAAGTTGTGTTTTTCTGCATCAGTATAGTTTATTATTCTGTTTTGGGGCTGATGACTTTTTATATGTTAATTCCTAGTTTATGTTGATTTAATATTTAATGTTACTCTGTATTAAAAAGTGAGTTAATTTATAGCTATCTTCTTATGCTATCTTTAATAAACTTACAATAGGAAACCTTTTTCTATTAGAGGAACTGGTTTTAATTATTTTATTTCATCAATTGACAGGTCGTGGTTCAATTCCTGAATTCTTTCATATTATGAAAAGGAAGTTTACAAACAAAGAATGGGAAACAATCAGAAGCTTTAAAGATGAATGGACTCAGCTGGATATGTTTTATAGGAATTGGGTATAATTTTGGAATTCTCATAAAAGTCTATGATGATTCTGTTACTGTCTTAGAAGGGCTGTGTAGCTCTGGTTCTCAAGCGCATGTAGTGCTTGAAACAAAGAGGTGATGATGTTAAGACTTAGGAATTCTGTTCATACAGTGTTAGAATGACATTTTAGAAAATTTAACCTATACTTAATGCTCAGTTAGACGGTACTTTTTTAAAGAAGGTGCTCTTTCTTAAAGCTAAAACCAAACATCTCATTTCCCAACATTTACAAGTAATGTTTTCCGTCTTAAAGGAACTTATATACATGAACCTTACTTGATAAACATTTATGTATTACTTACTGTATGCCGGAAGACATCATTTCAAGCTCTTCATAAGTTTATTTCTCATGCCTACCTTATGGGAAAAGTTCTGTTATTATTGCAGGTTACTTATGTGGGAATGGAGAAAACTTAATTGATTTGCCCCCTTAATGGTCACATTGTTTCCATGTTATATTAAGGGTTAAAAAAATTACAATGTAATATAAAGTGATAAATGCAGATATTAATCCTGTGTATTTTATGACAAGTTTTACTTTCTGAATAAGAGAAAATTGTCTATTTTAGGCATTGAAAGAAAGCTACATAAAAGCCATTGGTGTTGGACTGGGATTCGAATTACAACGTCTTGAATTTGAAATATCTCCATTAAACTTGGAGATAGGCCAAGTTTATAAAGAAACACGTTTGTTCCTGGATGGTGAGGAAGAAAAAGAATGGGCATTTGAGGTAAGATTATAGAATTAGAAGAATAAGAATTTGCATATACATATGTGTGTGTGTGTATATATATATATATATATGAGATTAACTTAAGGAGACTTATTAAGTTGACATAACTGGGACACGGTCTTTATGCACTGAATGTTAAGTGAAGAATGCTTCAAGCTTGTGTTACATTTTAGCTCATGCTAGAAAGGTGAATCATTTGAATCATTGTAGTTAAGAATGGGAAAGGGAAAGAAGCTCTGAAAAAGAAAGAGCTGCTTTTAAAAATGTGTTCATTCATTTGAAAAGCAGGATTTCAGAGAGAAAGGAGAGTCAAAGAGTTCTCTTCCATCCGCTGGTTCACTTCTCTAATGGCTATATTGGACTATGCCAGGCGGAAGCCAGGATTCCAGAGCTTCTTTTAGGTCTCCAGTGTCAGTGGAGGGGTCCAAGGGCTTGGGTTAGCCACTGCTGCTTTCCCAGGGGCATTAGCAGGGAGCTGGGTTGGAAATGGAGCAGTGAGAACTTGAATTGCTACCCGTATGGGATGCCAACAGTACAGGTGGTGGTTTATACCCATGGCACCACAGTGCCATCCTCAGGAGAACTACTTTGTATATAAATATGTTTACTTTGCCTTTGTGCATGTCTCAGTTTCATTACTCTCAGTTATTCAGTTGTCTGTCTCTTGATCTGTCCATTTATCTGTGAGAAACTGAGAGTGTCTATGGTTGACTCATTTCCCACTTAGCTGTCTGAATGAGAGAACTGACAGAGAGCTCAACTTTGCTGATTCATTCCCCAGATACCCAGAATAGCTGGGGCTGAGATCTCAATCCAGGCTCACGTGGGGGTTAGGGACATAACTCCTAGAGCTAGGACCTTTGGCTTCCCAAGGTTTGCACTTGAAAGAAGCTGCAATAAGGAGTCAGAGCCAGGTATTAAACCCAGACGTTCTTTGGTATGGGACATAGGCTTTTCTTTTTTTTAAGATTTATTTATTTTTATTGGAAAAGGAGATTTTTAAAGAGGAGACAGACAGAAAGAGCTTCCACCCACCGGTTCACTCCCCAAGTGGCTGCAACTGCTGGAACTGAGCAAATCTGAAGCTAGGAGCTTTCAGGCCTCGCACAAGGATGCAGGGTCCCAGAGCTTTGGGCCACCCTCTATTGCTTTCCTAGGCCACAAGCAGGGAGCTGGATGGGAAGTGGAGCAGCCGGGATACCACCCTGTGCATATATGTGATCCACTGAGCCATCGTGCCAGGCCTGGGACGTGGGCATCTTAAACAGCATCTTGAAAGCACCTAGCCTGTTTTATTTTTTTCTCCCACTCATTTCTTATCTTACACATCAAGCTGGGTTCTGCATGGCAGGAAACACTGTTGCCTACTGCTCTTACACAGCAGTTTTAAACCACCCAGAAAACCCTGCTGAATCCTCTCTGTGCTGAGCACACAAACTATGGAGAGGAGCCTTCGTGGCTTTGTTTGGGTTTAGGTGTTTATGTCCCGACCAATTACTGTAGTCAGTGAAATGTCCATTGCGGATTGTCCTGCTTGTATAAAATGTGGTGAGCCCAAAGGATACACTATATTAGAATGTTGTTTCTGCTGTAATCACCCCAGTGGTGAACAAAGAAGCTGTTTACAGAGTAAGGGGTTGGGATGCTACATAACATAGGAGTATTTATTGATTTTCTCAGGATAATTTGAAAGGTGTTAAGTAGGGAATGATTAATGCTAAATTGATGTTTTATGATGATTACCTCCTGTTTATGATGATATGTGAAGGTTAAGGAAATGAGGTTCGAAGTTGTGAGTAGTTCTCTGACTTGTAGGACTGTCTATTGAAATGTATATTAGGATCAAAAGGTGTTAGTTTGATATGTCACAGAAATACGAAAATGTAGATGTCAAGTTGGTGAACAATGTAGAATTGGGTAAAGAAAATCATATTCAAGAACATGTTTCTGTTAGCTTATGAACATGGTATTTGAAATTGAAACTGCCAGACTGCCTAACGAGCAGCTATGAATTTGATCCATTAAGAGAAGTGTGGGTTGAAGCCATGAGATTACTTAAATTAAAGGAAAGAAAAGTTTAGGACAGAAACCTGAGAATAGTAATAATTAAAAGGCAAAATGTGAAGGAGGCTGAGCAACAATGGGCCCGGCGCGGTGGCGCAAGTGGTTAAAGGTCCTCGCCTTGCATGCCCGGGATCCCATATGGGCGCCGGTTCTAATCCCGGCAGCCCTGCTAGCCTTCCAGCTCCCTGCCTGTGGCCCGGGAAAGCAGTCGAGGACAGCCCAAAGCTTTGGGACCCTGCACCCGCGTGGGAGACCTGGAAGAGGCTCCTGGCTTTGGATCGGCATAGTATCGGCTGTTGCGCTCACTTGGGGAGTGAATCATCGGATGGAAGATCTTCCTCTCTGTCTCTCCTTTCTGTATATCCGCCTTTCCAATGAAAAAATAATAAAAATAAATCTTTAAAAAAAAAAACAATGACCAACATGATACATAGGGAAATAATAGAATTCAGTAGCGAAGCTAATTTGAAGGAACTGAGCTTTGTCAAAAACTGCTTACTCTACCAATGGTAGTAAATTTTATTAAGGATCTTATTTTTGAAAAAGTTCAAAATATAGTCAGACTAATAAAACATTTTGTAAAGTGGAAAACTTGAGCAATTTAAAAGTTTATTTATGTGGAATCCTTTTTATGCTCAATGATGCTAGTTAAAAAGTGTTGTTAAAAAGTTTTAGTATTGTCTTTAGCAGCTGTATTCACCAGGAGGAAAGTTTTATGTTCATTTCCTAATTATTTGTTAACTGGAAAAAATTGACAGGCATGCTCTGGCTAACCTGTTGGAGTCTTCATTATACCTAGTTTATTGATGTATAAAAAGCTCTTACAGATTTTGTTATGGACATAATGCTAATCTTCGGATGTTCAGTAAAAAAAATAAAATACTCTTTTCAGCTAGAAAACACAGGTAGCCAGGCATGAGACAGCTCAGTGGGCACATTCAGCGGGTTACAGTAAGGAGCAGTGCAAGGCAGTTAGACTTTGAGTTAGAGGAAGGATGGACTATCAACATTATTCTAAATTTAGCATGGGTTATTAAACTTTTCCTCTTACAGGAATTAGTTATAATTAAATTGTTAAGTTAAAAATCCAGCTGATTTGGGGATGGACTTTTAGCTAGCTTGCATAAACTGGTTTACTTGTAGACATTTACATTTAATCTTTTTCTCAAGATGAGTACCTTTGATACTGTTTATGATGTGTTAGGTGAAGATTTAATTTTGTATATATTCAAAAGTTAACTATAGTGTTAGATGAAAGTCATTCTTCCTGGTTTTCCAGATTAATTAAATATAGTTGAGGTTTGATAGCGAGTCAGCAACAATTAACTGAACAATGATTGTATTTTGTTATTTGAAGGCTGTATTGAAGCTTTTCAAAAGTAAGTATAGAGAGTATTATGTTGAGCAATATCTCCTTTTTTACATAAAGCAGCTGTCAAACCATCCATAAGCAACATTTGCTGTGGTTAGTGTGGCAAGGCTAAGTGACCAAGATTCAGGCTAACCTATATAGAGAGATGCATTGGTGTAGTAGACAGATGTGTGAGCTTGGTAACCTGGCATGCTAGAAGTGTCTTCTGTCTATGAGATTTGCAGATGAGGTGAGAAGAGTCTGCCAATAGATCAGCCTCACTTCCATGGATGACAAAGATACTTGAGTTCTTAAGGCTTAAAAAAATACTCTACAACAAGGCTATCAGCCATACAGAAGTATCAGTTTAAAAATTATTGTGCTGTAAATTTATTGGATTTTTGAGTTCTAATGCAGTTGCCTTGGCAAGGCTGTATCATATGATTTTTGTAAATATTATGGCCCCAAATTGGATGTTGCCCACCCTTGCTCTAGAACCTGATAGCTCATGGGTTTAAAGTGTTTGGAAAGACCCCAGCTGAGAGAAATTCCCTCCCATCACAAAGAGGCGGTGGAGGTTCTACTGTGTATTATTTCCCAAGAGCAGAGAATGTGAGAGAAGTCAGCTAGTAAGTGCACTGCTGGTTCCAGGCCGTGATGCGGGACTGAAGGACTGGAAGTGACTTTGATGGAACTCTTGGCTTCTGGCTTCAACCTGGCCCAGGCTGGACCATTGTAGTCACTTGAGGAGGATGATTGTATCATCCTGTATTTGAAAGGAACATCATGTTTAGAAAGCACATTTTAGAAAAATTAATGTCACTCAATTCTGTCCTGTGCATGTACATTTTCCCCAAGTATCTACCCTTTCTTCCCATTGATTACTTTCAAGATTTGCAGTGTCAAGGAGCTCATCTTTTTGTGTATATATTACTACCTGATCTTTAGCTCAGTTAGTTTCACTCTTCAAACCCACTTTGAATCAAGACACTCCCCAGAATCCACAAGTAGGCCGAAATTGTAATTGCTCTTCTAGCTTTTTTCTTTAGCTTTGCATTTCTTTTATCCAGTCATCCAACATAAGAAACATTAAGCTATATGTTTGGTTCTTCTTTCTTTCTCCTTTGTCATACTGATCAGTCTAGGACTAATTAACAGTGACACATTCCTTTCTGAAATCTCTGTTTCCTGCAATTCCTAGGATGCGTCGTCTTTATATTTGCCTTGACCAATGCAAAATACTAGAAACCAATTAGGATAAATGAATTTATTTTTCATTGTTCAGCTTCAGCCACCTTTTTTAGTCTTTAGCTGCCATTTCCCCCATGTGCTCTACATTGCAGCCAAATGAAAATTTGCTAGACTTTGACCAATCCTGTTTGCTTTTTCTAATTCTGTGGCTTCCCTAGTCTGTACTTGCCCTCTCCTTTAAGAAAAAAAAAAAAAAAAAGAAAGAAAAGGCATAGGGCACTTAGATCTTCCCCAACTGGCTGCATTGGTTAGAGGTGGGCTGATTGAAAACCAGGAACTAAGAACTTCTTCTTGGTCTCCTGTTATCTGTGCAAGTGCCAAAGGATTTGAGCCATCCTCTACTGCTTTCCCAGGCCATAAACAAGGATCAAAAGTGGAGCAGCTGGAATTTAAACCAATGGTCATTTGGGATTCTAACGTTGCAGATGAAGGCTTAAGCTACTACACCACGGCATTGACCCCTGCTCTCTTTAATAACTTTGTTCCTTCTCTAAGTCCATGCTAATAAAACGTTATTGTAAACGCACACTATTTTCCACACCAGCATATCTGGAAAAATAAAAATGCAAGTCTAATATTTTTATAGGCTGCAGTTAATTTGAGAGACGGAGAGAAGAAGCATAGGACGAGAGCTCCTACTTGTTTCATTGCCCACGTGCTCACAACTGCTGGGACTAGGGTGGGCTGAAAGCCGGAAGTCAGAAGTCAAAGTCCAGTCCAGTCTGCTGCATGGGTGATAGGGACTCCAGGACTCGAGCAGTCCCTGCTGCTTCCTGCATCTGCCTCGGCAGATGTCTTCAATACTTGGACTACATTCTCCTAATATCTGTTTGAAAAGGCCACTAAAATGTTTCAGCTGATGAGATAAATTAGAGATTCTTGGTTTTTACAAGACAATGACTTTATCAACTAGGACTGAAATTTATGACTAGCATTCTTAATCTACAATTGGAACAATTTTACTGTACTTCATTTATAAGATGGAATGCCTGCTAAAGTCTGATGTGCAGTGTTGCTGAAGCAAATCACTTTTTTAATCTAATGATATAAACTTTTTCCTAGGTAAAATGTTCTTGCTCCCTTTGGACTTGGTGGTGATCATAAAGAATTTTTATATTCACATTAATCTTATGGATGAAAAATTACAAGACTAGATAATTCCTAGAAATCTAGAAAATTTTGAAGAGTCAGTAAGTTCAACTCAATGCATTAAATAATTGGATGAATCACCTTAACGGCAAATGTAACTGGCTGCCTTAGACTTTTTTAAAAACATAATATTTGTTATATATTGCGTCCCAAACACTTTTGTTGTAATGAACATTGAATATTAAAACATAGTTGTAACACATGATATAGTAACAAAGATTATTGACCAGTTTGAAAACTACTACTCTAATTTCATTGTGTCAAATTTCATACTGAAATAATACTTGTAGGGTAGGAGTAAACATGATGAAACTTCATTTTGAAGTGAATCTAATTGAATATTGGATTGTTTCAAGATCAATGGATAGTTGAAAAGGACATCCAGCATGTTAGCCAAAAACTGAGTGAAAACTGATTGCTGCCACAGCTAATCTCTGGTATCTTTTGATATAGGGACTATAGAACTGTTGTTAAGAGTGATTTTCCAAAAATAATTAGTCAAAATTAATTATAAATTCTTGTTAACATATTCATTGTAAATAGTAGAAGGCCCTGCCTCATAGAGAGTAACTTCGTTTATGATAATATGATATATATTATGGACTAGGCTCAGCGCGATAGTCCAGTGGCTAAATCCTTGCCTTGCATGCACCAGGATCCCATGTGGGTGCCAATTTGTGTCCCAGCTGCTCCGTTTTGCATCCAGCGCCCTGCTTGTGGTCTGGGAAAGCAGAAGATAGCTCAAAGCCTTAGGATCCTGTACCAATTTGGGAGACCCAGAAGAAGCTCCTGGCTCCTGGCTTTGAATTGGCTATTGTGGCCAATTTGGGAGTAAATCAGCAGATGAAAGATCTTTCTCTCTCCTTTTCTCTGTCAAATCTGCTTTTCCAAGCTAAATAAATAAATAAATGCATCTTTATGAAAAGATAAATATTGTGGGCTTCATGTTTGACTTAAGGGCAAATATTTTTTTTTGTTTGTTTCGAGCAGTGTAGGAAGTGACAGTAGCTGTTATAGAAATGCTCAGAATAGTATATCAGTGAGTCTTTGGTGCCTTAACACGTATGTACAAATGATTTGTGCTTCTTGTAACAGTCCATGCATATAGAAATGTATGCCATATGCTCGGTTTTTGAAAAATGCTGTAGATATTTTTGCGTCTGTGTATTCAAGATATTTACTGTATTAAAGATAAGTTTAGCCTTTTAAGTCTAATTGTTATTTCATTTCTTCTTTATATTGCCTTGAATTTATCCTTATCGAAATTTATTTTAAAAAATCTTGTTTTTATTGGAAAGTCAGATTTGCAGAGAGAAGGGGATACAAAGAAAAAGATCTTCCACCCACTGTGTCACTTCCCAGGTGGCCACAACTGCCAGAGCTGAGCTAATCTACAGCCAGGAGTCAGGAACTTCTCTGATTCTCCCACATGGGTGCAGGATCCCAATGCTTTGGCTTGTCTTCCACTGCTTTTCAAGGTCACAAGCAAGGATCTGGATGGGAAGTGGAGCTGCCAGGATTAGAACCGGCATCTGTATGGGATCCTGGTGTGTTGAAAGTGAGGACTTAGCTGCTAGGGTACTGCTCCAGGCCCATGCATCTTATGTTTTGCTAATTTGAGTATCCTAAGGTGTCAAAATGTGAGGAAAAATGCAAAGCATCTGTAATAGGTTCTTAAGTACTAAATATTGAAGTTTTCTGTTTTCGCTGGTGCATTTTTGAGGACTGCCTTGGTAGAGTGGCTTTTCAGTTAAAATTTGGCTCATTAACTCCTGAGGGATGTGTAAAATTTTGCTCATTACTTAACCCCTAAGAAGTGTGCATTTGTGTGGGCATGTGTATGGAGAGATTTAGAAAATGTAAACCTAGCTATATGGAAATATTTGTGTTAGTAATCAGTATTCTTATGTTTCAGGAGAGCAAAATAGATGAGCACCACTTTGTTGCAGTGGCTCTTAGGAAACCCGATGGAGCCAGACATCAGGATGTAAGATTTAGGATTTCTCTGTTCCTAAAAAAAGCCTAAATTGATGTTTTCTGTTGATTAGAATAAAAGTTATTTGCCTTATGTCAGGCTGGAAAGGTTTATTCTTAAGTTGTAGATACAGAAGGGTATCTATAAATCCTTCCTAATCCTGTGAAGCACCAAGTCAAACATGTGCGAGACATAAGAAAATGTCAGTATCGGTTTGCTTCTTTCCATCTCATCTGTTTAAAGGTAGAACAGTTTAGCATCAGAAACTGTCAGTCTGTGCATAGTTGTGATTGAAAGTAATTAAAGAATGCACCTATACACTTACCATTATTTTTAGGAATCCATGTGAGAGAACGTGGCATGATCAATGTATTTGCAGTGTTAGTTCTAAGAAAATGGAATGTTTTTGATAAGTTATTCAAGAGTTAAAATTCTTTGTAAGACTGTTTCTTAAAAAATGATGGTATATTATATTGATGTCCTTTATCTGAAGTTGTTCTGACCCAGTTTATCTGTTTTCAAGTATTAGCTTTATGCTCACTACCTCAGATTTTTTGTAGAGGTGTAGTTTTCTATACGTTAGCCCATTCAGTAGTACTTCTTTATTTCCCTGGCTGGACCCTATTGGGCAATAGTATATAGTGGAAAGACTGGGCTTCAGATCCAGGTCTGCCATTTGCCTTATGTGAGGGGAGGAGCACATTGGGTCACTTGATGTCTCTGAGTCTTAATCCTCCACCTTTTTAAAACTGACATAATCATAACACAGCAGAATCACAAGACATAAATCAGATAAAATGAATACTGGACCACAAGTGTTTCAGATTTTGATTTTTAAATGGATAATGAGATATCCTGGGGGTTAAACCCACATCTAAGCACACAATTCATTTATATTTCATATACATCTTATATAGTTTGGAAGTAATTTTCTACATTATTTTTTTCTGTACTTACGTTTTGACTGAGTCATGTCACATGAGGACAGGTCTGGAATTTTTTGCTGTAATGCATGTCCACACCAGAAATTTTGAATTTTATAGCAGTGTATGTTTCAAATTAGAAGTGCTCAGTCTGTGCTTGAATGTGTAGGATGTTAAGATTACGAACACCGTCTCTACTTCAGAATAGACAGTGCAGTTAAAGTTCCTGTTCAATAATTTTTTGAAAAGGTTTTCCCTCTTTTTACAGTCCTGGCACTTACACCAGGTCCACCCTATAGATGGACTCAGGCTAGTATTTCTCAAAAATTTGCATTTAGGGACAAATCTATGAAAAACCTCTCTTTTTAAAATTATGCATTTTGGGATCGCTTTGAACTCATATCTATTGAAACATGTTTTGCTTTTGTAGTCCAGTAAATCTACATTTTATGCAAATACCACTAGACAAAACATTTAAGAACATGATTCTCTATTTCATCTGTTTGTTTGTTACGTTGACGACCTTAATACAAGAAGTAAAAACAGTATTCAGAAATCCTACAATGTTGATACTGCTGAAATATATTTTGTACTTACTTTCATAAGTATAAAATTGATCGTGACAGTAATATATTGTTATGATAATGGCATCATTTTTTCCCCTTTTAGGTTTCATCTCAAGATGACTCTAAACCATCTCAGAGGCAATTTACTATCCTCACTTTTAATGATTTAATATCATCTGCTGTTCCCATGACACCTGAAGATCCTTCATTTTGGGACTGTTTTTGTTTCACGGAGGAAATTCCAATACGAAATGGTACACAATCATGATATCATAACAAGATAAAATAAAAAATAATTTTCCATATTCACAGAAAAATAGATGCCTGGTAGTAGAAACTTTTAATTCAAAAAATGATCTCGAAAAGCTCAACACTTTTCCTCTTAAAGAGCAAACTTCAATTGCAGTAGCTCACTAAAATAGTTATCTCTTTTCCAAAATTAAATTGAATTGCTAGAAACGGGGTGGCAGAATCTAAGAATGTTAGATACTCATTATGGAAGACATAGAAAACACAAATTTGTAAAAAAGAAATGGTGTAAATTCTATCATTTAGAGATTACTGCTCGTACACCTTGAGTATCTTTCCAGAGCTTTTTCTTGGCAGGTTAATCCATATTAACTTCATAAAAAATAACAACATGCTGCTTTATAATTTGGGATTTTTTTTTTAAGCACAACTACTATGATAACGTGATTCTAAAGTACTCATCTGCTCATACAACTGATATCAGGTTGCTCTTAGAAGTAAGAAACAGTGTACTAAAACAGTAGAATTTATTATTTCATGTAGCATTTGCAACTGCCGAGGAACTGTCATTGAGAACACATTGTTTTGTCTGTTTTGTTTTGGCCCCAGTTAACTTTTTTTTTAACCTTGATCCTCCCCCCCCCCACCCCCCAGTTATAAAAGCTGTAATTTCCAGGTTTAAGTTTTCACGAAACTGCATCTATAAGTCAGAAATGCCATTCTCCCACATTTGTTTATTACAAGGGAGACTTCTTCCAAAAGACCCTAGGTTTCCCTAACTGACTCAGATCAGGTTGAAGAAAGAGCTGATGTTTAACATTTGTAATCTATTCAAATTAGACTCTTGAAGAAGCTATGGCAGGTTTGGCAGGAATGGAAAATGGTAAGAAAAATGAGCCATAGCGTAACCATTTTCCTCTGGATCAGACATTTTGATTGTTGTGGTTTATTGCTGCTAGCAGTGGTGAATATTCTAGTACATTTTGAGATATTTGCTTAATCATGTCTTTAAACCTTTCATGAACGGTTTCATGAACATGTCATGAAAGGTTTTAGACATGGAGTAATTGGCTCAAAGTGTATAAATAATTTTAGAGCTTTGGTAGGTGTTGCATAATCCTCTTCAAAAGGTCGTACAATTTATGCTCACAATTATTAGTATGTGAGTGACCTAAATACTCCTGCTCAACTGTTTTTCAGTTATAGTGGTAAAGACTAAATACAGAAGAAAAGATTAGTATTTCATTATAAACAAGGATGGCGTATTGTTGTTGTTGGCTGTATCTCTTTTATGAACCTCCCATTCATGGTCTTTCTCTGTTTTTGTTTGTCTGTTCGTTTTAGTGAATAGGAGTTAATTTAAAATGGGAACATATTATATAATAGGACAAGATTATCATATTGATACCAGTCTATTAAATGGTTGTAGTGCATTAACGTCTTGTTAAATAGCAGGAATAAATAATTGCATCATTTGTATAACTGACATTAAAATTTTTGTGTGAATTATACAAAATTAGGTATACTTCACTTAGTGAAAATATTGGAATGTCTTTGACTTTTTTAATTGAGCGTGTTTCTTTACTTTTAACTAAGCATGCTTCTTAATTTTAATTGTAATATGTGATTTGAAAAGCCCAATTACATTTATAAGAGAGGCATTTTGTTATCCCTAGCATGAGGGTAATGGTGATAAGAAAAACCATTTTGTCATTGTACTAATAAAATGATTTAACATTTATTATGAAGTTTTCATGAACCAGTCACTGTGCTAGATTCTATCCTTTAGGTTTTTCTGTCCTTTGTTAAAGCCACACACAGTTTCAAAAGTCAAGGAGACCTGTGTGTGTGTGTGTGTGTGTGTGTTTGTGTGTTTTCCTGCAGAGAAGTACTACCATTTTGATCTCTCATCATTTCCTGTCCACAAGACAATTACTTCTATTATAATTCACTGTTATTATTGTCAGATCTTCAAATGGTGTGCTTGTATTGCATTTACTAATTTCAATTTTAGGCATTGTTTCATGGATTCCTAATATAACTCATTCTTATCAGTCTTTTCTTGTTCACCTTCCTCTGTTCCCAACATAATTATATCATAATTGAAAGTTTACATCATTGACTGTGACAACTTGTTTACATTGTTAAGGTTATGTAGCCACTGTTTGTAGCTGATAGGTTATCCTCACTCTTTACTCTGTCCTTATTTTTTTGAGTATCTTCAATGGTTGTTCAGCTGTTTAGACATACCAGGAATTCTGAGTCTCACTGACCTGGGGAAAATGGCTTCTACAGTAGTGTGCTCCATGCAGTCTGCATTTTCTTCGTGCTATCATCCTGGAACCCCATTACTGTCGATGAGGATTGCTTGCCTTTCCCTTATGTCAAATTCCCTGTTTTCCCACTTTCTTTATCTTTCTTAGATATGCTGTTTTATTTGCATGCAGGACATCTTTAAGTACCTTCCTGAGAAGGGAGAAATTAGGGAATGGGAGGGTTGGCGTTATACAAGGAAGGCCAGTTCCTTATAGAGTGATATAAAAGAATTAGCAATTTCTTACTCTGTTGATCATCCCCTTATCTTTTCCCCCACAAACACCCCCTCTTTGTTAACTCTGTGTTTTTCAAATAGTTGGTGTTGTCAAATGCTAAGTGCTGAGCTGAGCCTTGACCAGTGTTCCTGATTCCCATAGCTGCTGAATTTACAATTATTCTTTGCAATGTACCATAGTGCTCAATATAGGACATTATTAGTCATGCTAAGTTTTCTATATAGGAACACTGGTGGATTGATGTTAAAAAAAATGGATATTTGTGCATGTTCCTTGATATACACATTCAGAAATGAAATACACTTAAATGTATTTTGAGTTAAATGTTTCACTATAAAATGCTGTATTCAGTATCTGAAATTCATACATGAATTAGATTTCAGTAACTTGGCCTGTAACTAGTTGAAATGTTGTCATTTGTATTTGAGAATAAAAATGATAGAATGTAAATGTATGTACATATATCTTTCATAAATATCAGCTATTGAAACTCTTAGATAATAATGAAAAGTAACAGTGGCTTTCATTTTTATGGAGAAAATATGTATCACAGTGTAGTATGTGTGTGGGAATTGGCAAATGTGTGTGTTCATATCGTCAGTCACTAATGTCAAATGGTTGTTTCATCAGTTAAACAGTATATATACTTTGTGTATCCACACAAACACACACGCACATATAGTACTCCATGTAAAGTTTATTGAATTTATTCAAGTAACCATTCCCTTCAGTAAACTTCTGAAAGAAGTGTAAAACTTTATAACTGGACATGTGTCCATATTTTTGTTTATTTAAGGTCCCAAATGATCCATTTCCTTTGCTACTGCATCTCTATCACTCATATAAGCATAGCTATCATATAGTATAATAATAGAGAAGAAATCAGAGTTAAAAGTTCTTACCCATCACAGATTAAGAATAAATGTGGAGTATTGATGTCTATATGTGAAAAATCGAGAGAAACCTGACATGCTATTTCTTAAAAAATTAAATAGCTATGAAAAACTTACTTGTAGATGTTGAACATATTTTGGTTAACTAAATCCTCAAATAACATAATAAAATCATATTTTTTATTTTTTTATTATGAATTACATTGTATTATGTATAAAGTCATATTTCTACAATGGTAAAATCTAAAGCATGCTTTTTCTTTTTTCAGAATTTCGCTATGTAAATCCCTGATTGTCAAAAGAGAATGGCTGAAAGTAAATGTTAAAGGCAAGCAGCTCTTTCCTCACCCAATGAATTCATCCTTAATGAGATCAGGAAAATATTCAGCTGCAAAAAGAATTACATGACATTCTTACAAACAGAATCATGAAAAGCAACTATAAGAATATTATGTTTGGGCCTGCAACAACTGAACCAACTGATCCTCCACCTCCAGGCAGCAGGAGGGCATTGGTTTCTATCAAGTCTATCCTACTTCCCATCCAGCTCCCCGATTGTGGCCTGGGAAAGCAAAGGAGGATGGCCCAAAGTCTTGGGGATCCACACCCACCTGGGCGACCTGGAGGAAGCTCCTGGTTCCTGATTTTGGATTGGCTCTCATCTCTGGCTGTTGCAACCATGTGGGGAATGAGCCAGCAGATGGAGGATCTTTGTGTCTGTCCTCTGTAGATTTACCTTTCCAATAAAAATAAACAATCTTAAAGAAAAAGAATATTATGTATTTTTATTAAATTTTACACTAATTTTTTTCTCATTATTGTTTTATGATACAGTTCCATAAGTCCTGGGGTTTCCCTTCCCTCCCCCCCCAAAACCCTTTTCCTGCTTAGTTCCCTATATTGTTAAAACAGTATAATTCTTCATAAACAGTCATAAGTCCATCATTGCGGGCTTGGGCAATGGCAGAGAGTCCAGCATCCTATTGTCAAGACATAGTTAACAGTTTCATTGGGAGTCCATCTTTGATCTGAAAGTAGAGATGCATATTGCAGTGTGTCCTCACATCTGGATATGATAACCTCCATTACACAGTTAACTATACATCCCCTTAAATGAAATGCCACAAAATAAGAGGAAGAAAAAAACGCTGTGAAGTTAAATAACATGCTACTGAATGACTAATGTGTCCTCAAGAAATGAAAAAGGAAATCTAGAACCTTGAAAAAAATTATGCTGTATGATCCATGAGTCACTGAAGAATTTAATGAGAAAGTGTTTTGAAGAGATGAAACTAAAAAACTTAACAATCCATGAGATATTATCTGCTGATCTTGGTGAGGTGTATCTTCAGTAGGCAAAAAATGTTTTGTTTTTATCCAGTTTACTAATCTATGACGTTTGCTTGATGAGTTTAAGCCATTTACATTCAGGGTTAACAATAGGTGGTAATTTGGTCCTGTCATTCTAGCAGTGGGTTGTTCATTGATTTAGTCTTCTGGTGTTACTTTACGGGAATGTTCTTCACTTTTTGGTTTTGGGGGATGCTATTCCTTTTCTCTGTCAAGAGATTATCATTTGTAGGGCAGGTATAGAAGAGGCATATTCTTTACTGTGGAAAAATTTTATTTTGTTTTCAAAGACAAAGCTTTGCAGGGTACTTTATTCTGAGCTGACATTTTTTGGTT